CGCCAAAGAAGTTCTACAGGCGGGTTGGGTGGGATTTATGTGTGCTGAGGGGACGGTTTGGTGGGTACAAAGGGCTGAAGAAATACACTTTTTGTTCCATGGCCATGACTCATGTCACTTAGTCAGTCTTGGTTTTGGCACCCCAAACTCCCATTCCAATTCTTAAGCTCATTGCAATGCTGGGCCCCTTAACGTGAACAGTTTCAGGGTGTTTGCAAAATCACTGTTGGGGGGGAACCTCTTCAAACCACGCTTTGGAGGGTCTTTTTGAGGATGCGTGGCTGGGAACTGGGAACTGCAATGGGGGAAACACCCGCACAACTGGTTGGACATCCGGGCGCATCGAGGGGTCGACTTCCAAGGGCTTCAGGACTGGATACGTTTTGGACAAAGGGCAAGCGAGGGGACGACCATCACACACCAACGAGCAAAGTTGAGGCTTCCAATGACCAGCCAGAAACTTTTGAAGCTCAGGATCCAAACCCGCTCGATCTCCCAAACCCCATCCTTTGTTGCAAGAGTAAGACCCTGACTTGCGGCCCTGTTGCAGCCTTGGAGGAAAAGAAGGCTCTTACGGCGCGGGGAGGGGTTGGGATCAGGAAGCCGGCGTGCCCAAACTTTCAACTGCTTGCTGAACAGTCTCTTCTCGTGTCAGCCGAAGAAGTGGGAACCCAACAAGTTCAAACCTTTTCTGGGCCGTCAACCGGGCAGGTCATATGTGTATATATATATATATGTATGTATGTATGTATGTATGTGTATATATATATATATGTATATTTGCATATATCGGGAAGCGCTTGACTCCTTTGATCCTGCCACCAGGCAGCGCGCGAGGCCGTGGCGGCCTTGGACACGGCAGGGGGCGCAGAGCGCGCCGAGGCGTGGCTCCTCGGCAGAAGCCAGCCGCGGCTCCTTCGGAGGTTTCTCGAAAGAAGCTTCGAGGGAAACAAGTCCTGCCAAGTGGGAGGGTCTAGTTTGGGGAGGGTTCCCGCTTCGTTTCAAAAGGGCAAAGGGGTGCTCTTGTTCAATGGGCAGCCAAGAGAAGAGGAGGTTGTCTAAGCAACAGGTGTTGTAAGATGTTGTGAACAAGGGAACGGACCCTCACTTTGGTTACCGTACGGGTATTTGTCAAACTAGGTGGGCCCCAAAGCTGCTGGTTTTCCTTTCGGTTTTTCCTCCAAATCATCTGAAAAGGCCTCAGAAAGGAAAGCTCAAACCCATGCGTCTTGCAAATGGCCCTATGGGTCCAAGTTTCCTTCTAGCGAAGTACTTCGACCCCTTTCAGTCCCCTACCATCCTCAAACAGCACAAGCCCAATCGAGCAGCGCCCAAAACTCGTGTTGGCCATTCTGGCAAGGTGGTTCTGCTTGGCTTCATAGGGTTTATACTAAGGCCTATCTAAACCTTTATAACTTGTAACTGTACCCATCCTAGTAGACCCCCAAGGCAATAGGCTTTGGGCGCGGCTCTGTTGGGTTTGGGATGGGGGACCTGAGCCAAGGAAGATCTGCGAATCCGCGTGGGCAGCAGCCCTCGCCGCCTGGTTTCATTGCAGGGTGATATCAAGGGTGATTGAACGCTTTGTAAACAGTTTGACGAAAACAAACAACGAGTTAAGCCAGCTCGCGTTTTGGGATCTCGCTGCGCTGTGGGGTGGGGAATGTTTGGGGGGGGGGGGTTCGCAGAGGCAGAGTCGGAGACTTACAGTGACTCATGGCCACTTAAAGGGATCTCCAACGTCAATGGTGGAATTATTGTTTGGGTGGGACAGATGGAGAACTCGCTGGAGATGATGTGCGCAGCCGGAACTGGTTTGCGTTCAGGCTGTTTGTCCCCCTTCCCCCCAACATGACCCTAAGAATCCCAACGAAGAGCTCATGATCCCCTCGATGTTGCAAGTAGCTTGTCCTCTTGGTAATATCGCGAGTGAGAGCCGAGCCGGGAGCAAATGAACAACTCTATAATTGATCATGTGCTTGGGGTTCATGGTTGTTGAAATTTTGCTTTTGGTGGCAACTTCCGCAACGTCCAAAGGAAACCGCGTGAAAGTGACAACGCAGTCATGGGTCTGGGCCACTTTGGCATCACAAGGCCTGTGTGTTCCGGTACAGGGCTTACATTCTTGTGAATATGCAGGAAATCCACGCGGGTTCAAATCCTTTGAGGTTCCTTAGGTGAATTTGCGTGGAATTGATTGTCCCCTTGCTCATGTGGAGTCAACATGTCCAAGTTACTTCGCACCCGTGTGGAGGGCTGAGCCCAGGCGAAGACGAAGTGACCCACGGCCTCGGCCGAGAGGCAGCCAACTGACCCTCGCCGTGCGGCGAAAGCCGCGGGCGACGCTGAGCCCGTCAGTGGTCCGGCAGAATCTAAACTGAGTTAGCCTCACCAGCGCAGACATCTTCACTTGTTGAATGTTAGTTGTCGCCCAAGATTCCTATCTCCGCCGGTTTTTCACTGCTGAAGGGTGAGGCGACGTTGAACAGTTTCATCCCTGCGTGCGCAGACACTCCACAGAATCTACGAGTTTAGAGGCCTCGACAAGGGCCTCGACAGGTTTTCCAAAAAAAATACGGCAGCATGAGCCACGGGCAAGACTCAGCATGACGCCAAAGCAACCATGCGAATTGGACCCCGCAAGGGATATTCTCTAAATGTGGTGTGTTTTCTATTTGGAGTGGAGCACCACACTTTCAATTTCCCTTACTCCAAATGTTTTTTGATTTTTGATTTTTGGGCTTTTGCAAACCCCGGTTTTCCAAGGTAATGACCTGTTTTTGGTCAGGGGTTAACATGGTACCCTAAAAACAGTTGGTATTTGGAGTAGAGAGAAGGTGTTGAATCCACGAAGTCCCAGCTGAATGGTGGTTCTCATGGCTCATGTGCTCGTCTCGACACGGCTAGACCGCACGCGACCGCACAAGACTACGGCAAAAAGGCGGCTGGCGCTTGTTGGCTGGCGGCGCATAAGGCAAACGATGTTTCTGCTGCAAGACTCATGACGTGCAGAACGAGAACAATATGATTAATTTCGAGAAAGCAGGAAAGGGACTGCCCCAACTGAGTGGGCAAAGCAAGCAATCATGGAGTAGCAAACTAAGGCTTGGACCAGGTTAAACCCCTCTGTCCTCAGGGTTGGCTCAGTCAGTGGGGACCACCCCAACGGACTCTCGAAGGTTGAACTTTTTGGGGGTTGGTTCAAAGAGAAACCAACGAAAACACCCACCCACCCTTTGGGCCTCCTATTTTGACGGATCCAGATGCAAGTTCATCGCCTTTGCAATTGGAAGCCATGAACTTGTTGAACAACCTCTTGATTGGGATCTCGCATTTGCCTTAAAGACCCTTCTGTGTGCTTGTTAGGTACTTGTTTGTATTTTTTGGAGCAGCCTGTACGTGTTCATGCTGCCTCCACCTTCCGTTGAACCTCCTTTGGATTCACCGGAAGCCAGCATTTTAGGTCAGTTTGGTTGACCATTGATGGATTCCACTAGATTTCAGTTTGGCTCTAATCACTTTCCAGTGCCACATACTTGTCCAAGAACACCTAGGAACACACCCCACGCCTTTTTCCGAGCACGGCGGCAAGCCGCATTTGCGCAAGAGTGGTTTGATTTTGTTTCGTTTTCGAACAACCCCAAAACGGCTACCCTCGAAAAAAGACAGATGAATGGGGTGTTTCTCCCCCCACCAAACATATGAAGGGTTCCCTCGATAAATGGAACCTCCCAATGAATCAACCTGGGGTAGAGGAGCCGCATGAGGCAAGGCGATGCTTAAACCTCCCCCCAGGACACATCTGGTTGCACCCTTATAGAACTTTAAGGGAAAGCCCACCCACAAAGGTGAAATCCAGGGGTTGGTTAAGCAGCCTCCTCTCTAAACGAAGAATGAGTCATTGCGACGACCTTGCAATAGTATCACATAATTTATGTTGCTCATGGTGCAACCCGAGGTAAATTTCGTTGGCCTCCAAATGCGGAATCATTGGTCTTCGACGATACCTTTCTCCTGCCTGCAAGTCCACACTTTTCAGGGGAATCCAAACTTTGACGCTTTTTGGGCAACCTGGTGAAAGACTGCTTCAAAGAGGCCCCTACAAGTTGTCCGACTTCATCAAAGTTGCTCCGAGTCTCTCAAAGAAGACCACCACAAGGGTGAAATTGGTGAATGGCTTCCTTGTCCCTTAACCTGGGTTGCGACGTTTTTACCTCGTCGGGTCGAAACGGGACAACTCTGTTTTCATCACCAGATAGTCCCTTCCCTAGCTGGGGGAGGGGGGAGCTCAGTACCCTACAGTCAGGGTCAACATTTATCCAACCATTCAAGAGGAGATTGATTGAGGGGGTAAGTGTCAGGGTGCAATCGGGGGGCAATCTTAACCATTTGCTTGACGTAGCAGTCAGGCCAAGATGTCTGAACCCTGACTAAAGAAGGGAGGCACTTGCCACGAGAATCCAGCTATTTTCAAAATATGCCAACTTCAAACAAGTGGGGGGTTCGAGTATGTCCCCTTCCCCCCCCCCCCCCCCCCCGGGGGAGAATTAATGTCTTGCCCCCCCCCCAGCAAAACCAAGAGGATGTTGTTGAACAATGGTGTAATCATGTTGAAGCACGAGGTTGAATTGCCCAACCCTGTTTGTTTGGGATTTTAGAGGGGACAACAGTCATCAGCATTGCCTTGTAATCGATCGCTTGGCCCCAGTGTCAAACAATAGTTGACCCAGTTGCTGTGCGAAGGTCGATGGTCCGCGACGTCCGACGGTCACAGTAGGCAAGAAAGACACTGAAGCCACAATGCTTGTAGATCCACTTTGTGGCAGCACTAGTGGATGAACATTTGGATCAACAACTAAACCGGTCTGTGACTGTGAATCTTGGGTCCAGAATTCACCAGAGTTACCCGAGGGTCAACCCTTATTTGACCACCCATTCTTGGTCTCAGACCTTCGCGACCCAACCCCTGGTTTCCGTCCTCAGGGCTTCGCGGCCTCTAGGTACCAGTTCGTCGAGACGCTGCTGCGCCTGGCCGAGGCCAAGTACGTGAAGACCAACCGCGCCGAGGATCTGGGCGAGGCGCGGACTCGTAAAAAGGGATCAGGGTCCAGAGCTTGAATGCTGCTGGAGTTAGATCTTGAAAAATCGAAATAACTGACACTTTTGGGATGATAATTGAAGATTGTTCCAAACATCCTACACGCAGTTTCATTTTTTGGGCATTGGGCATAGTCATCAGGCATAGGGCCTTGGCGTTTTTTTTTAAAGCTGATATCCATTTTGGGGTTGGTTTAAAGGGAACCAAAAGGAGCGCCTTTGGATGAAACAAGGATACCCCCCAAATGGGTGGGTATCCTGTGAAATTCCTAAACCAGCCAAATTGGGCACCCTCAAAATTAACGCGCTCATTTGTTCGGTCAGGATTCTTGACATGTCTATGTTCCATTTCGGGATCGAGACATGGGGGGCTCGCTAAATGTCCCACCGCAAAAGGACTCACACGTGTTCTCTTGTGCTTGTTGGGGAACAGAACGTTTTGACTGAGCAACGCTCAACATGTACATTTTGATGGGCTTGTATGTCCCTTTTCAGCCAGTTTGCATCTCACTTTTTGGACCAATTGAACTGAATATTCCTCAAAAACTCCAGTTTTAAGCATCAGTTGGACTTTAATTCAGTCTCCTTTGTGATATTTCAGGAGGTCTTGGGAGCCAGGATTCCGCAATGTTCCCTGTGCTTTGAACATCACCTTTTGGTTGCCAACTTGCGATTTGGGGGGGAGGGGGGGAGGGGGTTGGGGTGACAACCAAAGGGCACCAGGGCAGCCATTGTCTTTGGTCCCGGTTCAAAGTGCACTTGGATACGTATTGAACGGGGATGCAGAAGTCTCAACCTTTCTCCTTCGTATGTGCAGTCGAAGCAGAAGTCTAGGTGCCTTGCCCATTTCAGATGGAATCCGCACGCACTTAGACCGGGTTCTGTTGATATATATATATATATATATGGCTATTTCCTTTCATTTGGCGGTGTTTTCCTCTTATTTGGTGGTTTGGGAAAGTGGTGGACCGCATCCTGTCTCTTGAAACTGACCCGCCGCCACACATGATGGCTCGATGACTGGTGCTGGCCTGGCAAGCCATATTTAATCTGGCAGAATCTTGAGTTGGAGTCACACTCTATATGTAGTCGAAGTTCGACAGGGCAAGCAAAATGACAACTAGATAGGCATCACGCCCTTTGCCTAGCTGGGCGCGGATGGTGTCTCCCCGCCGCAATGCCACGGCCTCATTTTGCTCTCGGATCGCCATAGGTTTGTTGCGCACAGCAGACTGTGCTACACCCATGCCAGCATTGGTGCCCTTTGCATCAAAAAAGGCAAATTTCGACATGTGCCTCTTGCACGTTTTCATAGAGAAGCCTTTGAATTGAGTTTCACAGATCTGAAAAGGCACCAGCTACTGCTGGCAGTTAAACTTGGCAGGTCCACACTTGGTAGGTCTAAGTTTGTGGCACACACAGCGGACCGCACTACACCCGTGCCAGCATTGGTGCCTTTGCAAGGGACCATTTCCACATGTTTCTAACTTGCAAGTAGTCATTAAACGAAGATTGTGACCAAAAGGCACCGGTTATTGCTGGCAGCAAAACTTTGCAGGTCCATACTTGGCAGGTCCAAGTTTGGTGCACACACAGCGGACTGCGCTACACCCGTGCCAGCATTGGTGCCTTCACAAGGGCAAGGGGCATTTCCACATATTTCCCACTTGCAATTCTTCACCGGGAAGCACTTAGCGTGTGACATAGATTGAATCTGAAAAGGCGCCGGCTAGCGCTGGCAGCTGAACTTGGCTGAGGCATCAGATCAACCGCATGACTTGATTGCTCTGAAGCTCTGCCTTGTCTCTAACAAAATAGAGTGGCTTCCGCGGGCTCACCTCGTTGGTGTCCTGCAAGTAGCCAACGCGCCACACGCGCTTCAGCGTGCGCGAGGCTGTCAGCACCTGAAGGGGTGATGGTCTCACCCCTTTCTTGGGACAAGTCATCCAGTTTGAAGAAATTGTTTGCCCTGACGTCAAGCATTGGAAGTGACATTGGAAAAACCATCTTTCATGTTGCTCAATTTGTCCAGCTAGGCAACCTCTTGAAGTGTTGGGCTAATGAATGTGCTTTCTCTGCTTTGGAACGGAGTGGTTAGGAACCTTCAGCTTCAAACCCTTTTGTTTCCAGTTTTGGCACTGTGTCCGGGAACGCGCTAGCCACTGTGGCATACTTGAAGCCCGTGGTGACCGGCGTCCACTGCAGGTAGAGCTTCTTGTCCTTCGGCTTCACGGTGAACCCATCCAGGCGAGGCTCAGCTTGCCCGGCTTCGTCTTCATCTCTATCTGAAGTAAGAGAATTGGTTGGGGAACACATTCCCGTGTCAAATGAGAAAATAATTTCACTGTTGGGGAGGGGGGGGGGGGTAGAAAAAATACTTCCAGGGTCAACGAGGTCAACGAGGGGTTGGGGGGTATAGAAAACAATTTCAGGATCAAAGATTCTTGGGAAGGGTAAATCATTTCGGAACCAAAGGGGTTGGGGAAACAAAGTAGCTGGCCAATGGCATGGAAACTCCCCGACCTTGAGCGACCGTGTGGCGACCGAGCTCGTGCATTCGTGTCCACCACGCCCGTCTCCTCCAGCTCCTGCAGCAACGCCTTCAAGCTCGCTGGCGCCGCGTCTTTCATCGCCTTCGAGCCTTCCGAGGAGATTTCCAGAACGACCTCGTCGCGGTCGCTCTTCCACTCGCATGTGGTTGTGTTCTCCATGGACTGTCCTGCGCAGGGCGGTCAATACATCTCGTGTTGCATGGTTCCACATGCCACTGCCTGTCTTTTTGGCCACGTGGTAATTCGATCCAATCAGTGTGACAATATATGTCAGCAGCCGAAAGCAAGCGACACAGATTACCTGTACACTTCGATTCTCCCGAAACAAGAATCAGCCACAGGTCACATTGATATTGCTTGCTTGTCTCTAACACGTGTAGGGCCGCAAGCCCCAAAAACCAGAACTGAACTGGCACCACCCTGACTGTCAGGGCTCATCGGCAAGATGGGCATCTCAGTTGACATCGGGCGCCGCACGCTTCAGGCTGGGCAAGCGGCGGCGAGAGAGTTCACTCGGGCTCATTTTCTTCATAGCTTCCAAGCGAGCCGGGTGGTCCTTCCACCTTGTTTGGCACAATGAGATCAAAAGAAATCTAGTGTTGGTCTCAAACAATATCGGACAAAAGCAGGAAACCTGGTTTTCTTTTTGGCCCTGGTAAGTTATCTGTGTGAGAATTCAAGCATCAACAGTAGTGAAACCCGACCCTCCTGGTTGGATGAAATCGACCTGACCCTCCTGGTTGGATGAAACCAAGCGTTGGCATCCAACAAACAGCGTTCGTTTGAACACAACGGATTTTCGTGGTGAATCCAAGCATCGGGAAAAAGTAACGCAGCTGATTATTTAGTGACATCAGCAAGTTTTAGAAGCACATTTCTTTGCTACCGAGAGTTGGTGTCAATCATTTTCACAAACAAGCTTGGCTGTCTTTTGGGGATGTGAAGGAACTTGGCTAATGCAGGAAAGGGGCTGTTGCAGGGCTTCAGCGCGAGCCTCATTGTACGGCATATCCGGGAAATCACCCTTGATCTTGGCCACGGTGTCGCGGACATGCTTGTGGTAAGCGTCGCGCAAGGTGTGATTGCCAGGCTCCGGGTTGCCCTGCCAAGGATAATTTTCATACGTTACTTGATGACCTTTAGCAAATGGGCATGTTGGAAATCAATGCGACTGTCCCCGCCCTCCCAAACTTGGTGATGTGTATCTCCCCAAGTGTGTCCTGCCTTCGCTTCCTTCTTCTTCTTCTTCATCGGGCTTTTTTCTTTGGAAGGGCTGGCTGCCGGCGGTTTTGGGGGGCCATACATTTTGGCCTTGGTCTTCTTGGCGGGGCTTGCCGGATTCTTTTTGTTTGCCCTTTTCTTGGCTGCTGCTTTCTTTGGGCTGGCACCTTTGGACTTGGCCGGGCTGCCGGCTTTGGACTTGGCTGGGCTGCCGGCTTTGGACTTGACCGGGCTGCCGGCTTTGGACTTGGCTGGGCTGCCGGCTTTGGACTTGCCGGCTTTGGACTTGGCCGGGCTGCCGGCTTTGGACTTGGTCGGGCTGCCGGCTTTGGACTTGGCTGGGCTGCCGGCTTTGGACTTGGCTGGGCTGCCGGCTCTGGTCGGGCTGCCAGCTTTGGACTTGGCGCGGGCCTTTCTTCCCTTGGACTTCTTCTTTGCTGGGGATTCTTCACCAAGTTTGAGGGTTGTTTCAGAGTGAGCGTCTTCCTCCTCCTCCTCCTTTTCGGTTGCGGGTGTGCGGCCCCGACCCCTTCCTCTTCCTTTACCGCCTCTTGTTTTGCCATCCCTGGAAGAGCCTGTGGAGGCAACTGGGAAGGTGGCTGCCAACTGCTTGACAGCCATCTTTGCTGACTCTTGGTCGTTCTTCATGTGAGCTTTTGCTGCCTGGACTTTAGCGTCCAACTCTGCCTTTTCAGGCTCTGTAAGGCGAGGGTTGTTGGCGTGAAGTTGGCTCGTCATTGGCAGGGGCGAAGGGCTTGGGGAAGTGTTGAACTTCTGCGCTCTCGGGGTCGGCGTTTCAGCTAGGCCTGGGCTTTTCTCTAGCATATCATTGATGTCCTGCGCATCAAAGCGACACAACAAGGCTTCTAAGACTCCTCAACACATGCTTGTGAAACCCCGGTCCGCTGAGAGGCCATGCTGCGCCAGCATCTGCTCTAAAGATGCCATGGCGCCGGCAACTGTGGCAGCACTAGCGCAGCTTGTTTGAGACTCCGGCAGCTAGGTTCGAACGACACCCGATTCGCAAAGGGGCAACAAAGGTTGCCACGCAAGGAATAAATCCCCGCAAGTTGCGCGGTCTTTCAAAACTGATTGCTCGGTCAATCAGCCCGTAGCAATCGGGGTGTCATGCGCAGGAAGGCTTCTGCGAGGAAACTACTAGCAATTAGGATTGAATCAGGTCAACTTTTCGCCGAACAAACAAGCAAG